GGGCCGCGCCGCCCGCCGCCGCCGCCCGCCTCCGCGAGCTGGGCGCCGCTCCGCCGGCCGGCACGGGAGGCGTCGGGGCCGCGCTGCCGCCGCAGCACCCGCGGCGCGCGCCGCGGTCTATCCTGCGGCAGCGCGACCAGGGGCCCGAGGTGGATGCGAGGGACACCTACGCCTTTGACAGCCCTGCTTCTCCCCACGCACTCGGCTCCCAGCTCGGGCCCGGCTCGTCCTATGCGCCTGGCCCCCGGCTGGCTCCGGTTGCAGCATTGTACGGCAGCGGCGCTGCCGCATACAAAGAGGGCGGCGGCGGGCTGCGGCAGCGGCAGCCGCCGCAGCAGTACGTGCGGTACGGCGGCCTGCGCGACAGGTGGGTCCGGGGGTGAGTGGGGCAGGTGAGGCGGAGCGCTGAATCAAGCGTGAAGGGATGCAATTGCAGCTGGCCGTGCGCATGACCCTGTATTTACACCTGTAAATGGTGCAGGGTGCAGGTGCAGACCAACTTTTCTGGGCCTGCCCGGCAGGTGTGCTGAGGGACAGATGTGCGGCCGCGTGAACTCTGCAGCGTGCCCCTCACACTACCATGCCAACCCGCGATTATGAATGCCGCATGCAGGGTCGCGCCCGCGACGGCTGCCGCGGCTGCAGCCGGCGTCTTTGGCTACGCGCCCGACGGTGCGGCCCCTGGTCGCACCGCCGCCGTCGCGGCCGGTGGCGGCGGCAGCGCGCCCAAGGCTGCGGCCGTGCGGGACAGCTCCCAGTTCGGCGGGAAGGTTTCGCTGCAGCGCTTCGCGCGGGGTGAGCTGCGGCGGCGGCGGGCCGCTGCGGCCCGCCGAGCGCGGCCAGGGAGCCTCGGGGCGCGTGCCCGCAAATGGCGTGCGTTCGCACAACGCGTGTCTGATTCGAAACAACGCCCCACACAAGCCCTCCAGATTGTGTCCGCGGGCGGGCCGCGACAGCCGCGCTCCGCACCGGCCCCGCGTGCCGCCCCCGCAGGCCAGGTGGAGGCGAGCGACGACTCAAGCAGCCAAATGGACGTCCGCGTGCCCAAGGTGGTGCACTATGCGGACAGCCAACCAGATCAAGCCCGGTGCGCGGCAGAGGCTGCACTGCGAAGCGTGATGATGCAATCACGCACGCGCCGCCCCTGCTGAGTTCAAGAGGAGCCCACCCGAGCGGCGTAGTGCGGACCAAGCGGCCGGCTGGCTCCCCAATGCAAGCCGGACGCGCCTTGGGCCGCGCGGCCTCACCAGACGCCCGCGCCCGCTCGCACGCGCCCCACCCGCAGGCACGCGCGCGACGCAGAGCGCGCCGGCGACGCCGGCAGCAGCTTGGGCAGCCGGGACGCCTGGGTCGCGGCGGCCCAGATCACCAGCCCCCCGTTGATGCGGGTGCTGCAGGATGCAGGTGGGCCGGGCTGCCAGGGGCGCCTGGCGGCGGGGCCGGGCCCTCGCGCTCGCAGGCGATCCAGACAAGGGGCCGAGCACGCCCGATGCACGCACGATGCTGCAGCTGGGGTCAATGGTGGATCTCTGACCTGGCGGCCCAGTTCTCTGACTGATTGACTGACTATGCCTCGAACACTGCCGCAGTCACCATGAGCCGGGAGGACCTGGAGCGGCTGGAGAAGCGCGGCCGGCGGCAAGGCTGGCTGGCGCGCATCGCCAAGCTGCTGGCCGGCCTTGCGGCGGCGGCGGCCCTGGGCGCCGCGACCGTGATCGTCGTGCGCACGGTGAGGCCGCGGGGCGGTCTCGCGTCGCCGCTGCACGCGGCCGGCCACGTGGATGCAACAGCAGCAGTCCGGGGGCCACCGCCGCGCGTTGGCAGGGCCCGCCCCGCCCCAAAACTGATCCCTGGCAACGAGGCTGCACCGGTGAGTTCACCAATGCCCCTGCATTGCGCGCGCACCCTCTCAGGCATGGGACGACTGCAGCGGGGGCCGCTGCAACACGGACGACGCCCAACTCGAACCCCTGGCCCCCCGGCTGCCCAGCCTGCGGCCGCTGGGCCACAAAGACGGCGGCGCCAAGGCCCGCCGCGGCGGCCGGCGCGGCGAGGGCGGTGGCGGCGCTGGTGGCGGGGGGCTGGTGCTGCAGATGCCTCAGATGCCGTTTGTCCCGGTGTTCCCGGCGCCCAACCCCCTGGACAGCCGTGGCTGAGGCAGGCTGCGCTGCGGCCAAACTGGCCGCCCTCACGGGAGATGCAGACAGCAGCGGCAGTCGCCCGCACGTTGGCGCGTGCTGCTTGCGTTTGGGCTTTGGGTCGAGCGGGCAGATTATTGGTGCCAACGGCCGACCAGGCGGCAGCTCTGAGGCTAAGTGGCAGCATCTCATATCCCAGGGTGGCATCATCCTTCCGCCGCGTATGGTTTAGCTGTTGAGAACGTACACACCACCACAGTCACATCCTTGTCCTTCTTTGCTTGCCTACACTGGGGTGTGTATGCGATCCGCGCATGCAGGACAACCTTACTGTGTTGTGCACGTGGCTGTTTGCTCTCACGCGCATGCGACCGGCGCGCGTTCTGAAGGCGTGGGGCGGGGCTAGTCGCGCCGTCAAAGCCGCACCACAGCACTATTCACGCGTGTGCTTTTTGAGTTGTGAAAGGCACACAAAGGCGCACAGTTCTGACAACACTTGGCGCGTTGGAGGGTAAGGGGGCATACGATGAAAGCGTGATTGGTTTGCAGCAAATGGCTGCAGGAAGGCAGCAGTCTTGCTTCCCCAGGCCATGAGAGCAGCCTGCAAACAATCTGGTCATGGCCTATGCGGCCGCACATCAACAACGGACGGCGAATACATCAACCAGTGCAACCCGACAGCCGCAATGCGCTCTGCAGTTGGCGGCTGGGCGTGGGCCCGCACATGTGACAGCTTGCTGCTGCGCCGCCGTCACTCCAGGGCGGGTCGGCGGACGACGCCCTCAAATCATCGCGCCGTGCCGCATGCACTGCACATTTCCCCGTCCCCTTAAGCCTCCTCCCTCTCCCCGCCAGCGCCTGGATATCGCAGAAATCAGGAGTATTTGCGCCAACGCCTGGGCCTGGCCACCCCCTGCTAGGCCCCATCACAAGTCCTCGTCCTCCCAACGCTCCACAGTGACCGGCGCGTGCTTGTCCACCGCCGCGATAAGGCGCGCCTGCAAAACGCAAGGAATCAAAGTGGCACGCACCAACACGATGCCGCATCAGGCCTCTGCAGAGGGCGTGTCAACGTGGGCGCACTGGCAGGCGCGTGCGAGGGCCCGCCCACTGCTGCGGGGCATGGAGGTGTCATGCGAGTGGCGTGGGCGGTCGACGCGCAGCGCTGCGCCTGCCCACCTTATCGCGCGTCGCGAAGCTCTCCACCAGCTCCCCGTTGTTCAGATGGAACGTGAATAGCGGCACGTTCTGCGCCAAGCGCGGGCGGCGGCGGCGACGCAGGGGCGGGTTCGGGATGCGTGACACGCCGCAGTGTGCAGCTCACCGCTCGTCGGGGGCAAAGTCGCCGTTGTGCCTGGGGGATGCAATATTGATGCTTCATGCGAGGTGTCATGGCCCAGCAGCTGCCGCATATCATAGCCTGGGTGCACCCCAGTGCCGAGGGTCCCCCAGGGCAGGGCAGCACACCTTGATTTTGTGGTGGCGGGCCAGGGGGGTCAGCTCGTAGTCCTCGTCATACACATTGTGCTGGAGACACAAGCGGGGGTCGGCGGTTCGCGATATGGTGAGCGCCAGGCGCACGCGTTGGCTGAGCTCTTGCAGAAGCGCGCCCCCGGCTTCGCCTGCGCGTCCTCCTGCGAGGCCTGCTGGTGCACTCGCTGCCCCTGCACCCTCCCACTCAGCCACACCTTGACGAATATAATGTGCTGCGCGTGCTCGCTTGCGCTGCGGCACATCCTGTGGAAGCCCGGCGCCATGTACTTGCAGGCCGGGCAGTCCGTCTTGTACCAGTCCACCACCACCTGGCGGTTCGCGGCGTCGTGAGCGGGAACACGCGTGGAGGGACCCTGGGCCTGGACAGGCACGACCTGGGTGCTCAGCGGCTGCAGCGTCCTGGCAGAGGGGCCGCTTGCGCCGGCGCCGGGCTGGGAGGGCGCGCGGGCTCGGGGCGCTGCGGCCAATTGGCGCCTCACCAGGGCGTCCGGCAGTGCCGACTCAAAGATCGCGTCCAGCTCCTCTTTTGTGTAGACCTGTGTGAGGTGTTTCATGAGGTGGTGCCTTGTCTTCGGGCAGGGCGCACAACAGCCATCGGGCGGGTGCAGACGAGGTGCGTCGCCGCAGCAGCCAACCTGGCCAGCTGACGGCCCGCCTTTTGTGGCAGAGGGGAGCCGGCTGCGTTCTCACTCGGCCACTGCTGCGCGTCGTGCAGGGAGACGGCAGCTCCGGCTGCGCCCCGGCCCGGCCGCGGGGCCTAATGCTGCACTTGCCTGGATGACGCAGTCGGTGGGGCAGGGCGTGTCGTCCTCTGTAAAGTGGATGCCCTCCTCCAGCAGCAGCGACTCTACCGCGGGAGTGTCCGCCTGTGTGTGCGCGCGGCCGCATGCACGCGTCCGGGGCCGGCCAGCCGGCGGGGCGGGGCGGCGGGGGGCGGCTTGATG